AATCAGCTGGGTGGGTCTTGCCTCTAGCCTCTTTGCAGGGAGTTCTGCTGAAGGGTTCCGTGCTGTGTCAGGATCCGGAGGACCCCAGGTCATCTCACTCACTTGCTGGGCCTGCACTCTGGGTCTGTTCAGGATCCCACGGCCTGGGTCGTGTCACTCACTCGCTGGGCCTGCGCTCTGGGTCTGTTCAGGATCCCGCGGCCCAGTCCCCCATTGCATTTTGACTACTCCCTCATTTCCCTCTCCTAATCTGAGCAGTGTCACAGGACTGTATCACTAATAATTCTCTCCCCAATTCTAATAATAAAATAATTAAAATGTGATCCTCATCTCTAAAATAAAAATATCCATCACTCAGCTGTACATTGTGTGCAGCTCATGTATACATAAAGAGATGAACAAGGTATCATATATTCCAGTGGGAATAAGGAAAAAATAACATAGTAAGATAGAGGTAAGGAAGACCAAGAGAGGCAAGAAGACTTATGTTTTCTGTGTGAAAAATGAGAGAGAGGAACATAATGCACAGTGAAGCCTGGAAGACAGTAGGGAAGTTTTGAAATAGCTGCTGTGCTGAATGGGTCAGGGAAACAAAAGTGAGTTAAAAACAAAGACAATTAGTGAAGTTTCAATACATGGAGCCAACAGTGATCCATCACCATTGTTATCGTCGTCTTCTTGGTCTCCAGAACAGATCTTACTTGAACCTTGTAATCTACATAATTGAGGAAAATATTTTTGGAAGAAGGGATAATTCCTGAGGGTAGGTTGGGGCTCGGTGTAGGATGTTACTGGCTGTCTTTATTGCATCCACTCTGTCATTTGCGTTTGTGTAGGTTGAGCCGGTGATACACAGAGGCCACGAAAGCCTGGTCCACCACATCCTGCTCTATCAGTGCAGTAGCAACTTTAATGACAGTGTTCTGGACTACGGCCACGAGTGCTATCACCCAAACATGCCTGATGCCTTCCTTACCTGTGAGACCGTGATCTTCGCCTGGGCCATTGGTGGAGAGGTGGGCAAGTAACAACTGAGATGTAGCACAATTCATTAGTCATGTTTTTTCATCATAAATATGGCTCTAATACTTATGAGTATAGCTCTATATACTCTCTGTCGCAGTGCCCTGCGTCTATTTAAGTAGGAGAAGACTATTCCCAATAATTGATTCTGGAAGGCTCTGGTATGGTCTCTGAAAATGGTTGGTTTATGAACACAGTAGTGCTCTCAGAGATTTTCATAAGAAACTGTCTCATGGAATTTTCCATATTTAGGGTTTTTCCTACCCACCTCATGTTGGATTGTCCCTTGGCACTCCATTAGATCCTCATTATGTGCTTCTAGAAGTCCATTATGATAATCCGACTCATAAGAAAGGTGAGTTCTTTCTTTATATATTCCACCTTGATATATTATGGGTTTTAAAAGTTTTGTAGTTCTTGTCTTTAACAGAGAAAGAACAAAATAGAAAATATTGGGAAGAGTTCATCTATAAATTTGTCATCTGAACTGGGATACTTTTAAAGTGAAAAAGAATATTCAGTCACAGTTACACGAGGTCAATAGGCATTATTCACATTAAAGTAATGGACACATTGAGTCAGTAATCAAATCTTTTCTGTACTGCCTACCAGATAGTAGAAAAATAGGCTTTTTTTCATTTATTATATAAACTGAATCCCAAACACATAGCACTTGTGTTACATTTTTTCTCACTGTTCCTATGAAAAACCTACCATTCATCGCACTAAAAAATATTTCAGCACTTTGTTGTTTGAAAGGCAAGTCATAAAGTTACCCGACAGGCGTTTACTCACTGAACTTGCACAAAATGTTGTTGAAGGGAGCATGTACGTAAAGGATATATACTTGATTTTGGAATTTATACAATGTTCCAAAATGGAAAACTGATTCTATGTGAAATTATCAGCAGAAACAATTCTAAGTAATGATTTTATTTCATTTTGTGCAATCATCCAGCAGATACTGAGCATTAACTATGTGCTGGGTCCGTGCTTGAGAATATCACATAAACAAAACACACGCTGCACCCTACCTCGTAAAAATTATTGTCCACTGGGAAAGAGAAACAATTTTAAGAAAACCCTCATAGCAATTGATACAAAATTACATATTACCAGTTATCCAACAGACAGACACTGGTACTAGGAGAGTATTTATTTGGTGACCTAATCTAGCCAGCTATGTATGGTGGATGGTCTAGATAGTCTTCCTTGAAGAAACAAATTTTAAAAGACCAAAGGTGCAATTTTCATTGGGGAAGGAGTTAATTAATTTCAAAGTTAATGAAAGGCATATTTAAATTCTCCTGCTTTACAATAACTAGGTCATAGCAAGGAAGGTGTCTTACTTGTTTTTATCCCAATGCTTATATGCGCTGTTCACATGTGGATTTTTATCGACTGTTGATTAAATTAATATCACTGACTATGTATTGAGTAATAAAATGGTTGCAAACTAAGGGAAGTGTCTTAGTTACTTTTTACTTGTTGCTGGGACAAATACCCGACACTCAAAATGAAGGAAGGAAAGGTTTATTTAGCTCACAGTTACTGGAGGTTTCAGTCCACACTCAGCTGGCTCCAACGCAGAGCAGCACATAGCAGAGGACAACCTTTCATGGCGGTGGCAAAGAGCAAGAGCGCAAGGGAGGGGTAGCAGCAGCTCAAGCAGCTGGCTTCTCTTCCCACCTTACATTGTAATGCAAATTACCTGCCCCAGGGCAGGTGCAGCAACCACACCCACAGTAATCAATCACAAACTCCAGAGGCTGCCCCAAGACTGCAGGAGGCTTTGAGGGGACACCTATACACAAACCATAACAGGAAGTTAAGCTTCAGTAATTTTCTCTGTCCATCGTGTGGTTTCTAAGCCAAGGAATATAAAAATAATTTTTTTGGGGGGAGGGTTACTCTGTATTCTAAGAATTTAGACTTTAGAATTTTCACTCTGTCTCCATGTTAGATAATAAAGATGTCAACCAGATGACTCCAGTATCTCCCCATAGCATGGCATGTGCATCTACAATGGCTGCAGGGAATGTGGCAACTCACATTTTAGTTCATGCTCATGAAGCCAATTATCGTCTCTGATGAGCTCTGCTTGTATTATTTCCTCTGTGATTTTTAAGGAATATCAACACATCTGTTTATTTATTTATTTACTTATTTACTTTAAAGAGAATAGAAAAATAATAGATAAGACATTAGAAATGATACATAATTTTTAAAAAGTAAGATTTGAACAATGTTTTTTGTACTGCACATTTTTGTCATCAAAGTAGCTGCTCAGATTACAGATTTAAGTATATAAAGTTGGTCAAAGTAAAAATTTTAAGTATTATCTGCTACCTTCAGAAAACGGATAGAAATTAGTACTACAGTCATCTTAGTTATCCTTTGCATATACATACTTTTTTTTTGTTTTGTTTTTGTTTTTGTTTTGCTTTGGTTTTTTTTTTGGCGGAGCCAGGGATTGAACTCAGGCCCTTGCTTTTGCCAGGCAAGCACTTATTCTACCGAGCCATCTCCCCGGCCCCACATACATGGTTTTTCACTTTCCTCTTTTTTCTCCTTTCCCTCATCCCAATTGTTTATTCCTTATTTTCAGTTTCTTTCCCTTTTACTGTATCTATTGTACTGTTCAGATTTTATTTACTCTTTCAGGTTCTTACACTAAGGAGACAATAAAATGTTTAAGAATTTTGTTTTTAAATTATGTGTTCTTGTTGCAGGCTTAATAGATAGTTCTGGGCTAAGGCTATACCATACCACGGATTTAAGGAAGTACGATGCGGGGGTGATCGAGGCTGGCCTCTGGGTGAGCCTCTTCCATACCATCCCTCCAGGGATGCCTGAGTTCCGCTCCGAGGGCCACTGTACCCTGGAATGCCTACAGGAGGTAGGCTGTGCCTGGGAGCTGTGTCTGGGTGCTGCTCTCTATAAATTAACTGTGCTCTTGAAAACCGGTGTGACAATTGTCTTCCACCTTCATTCCTTGTCCCTTTTTCTGTGGGCACCATGTAAAGCCATTACTACAAGTTCAGCAGCACTTGTGACTGCCTTTTCCAACCTTTATGCCACAGGAGCTGGGTTTGAGAGCCAGGAAACTTGTAGTGTTTTCCTTCCCACCCCCAGCTCCTTCATTACATGGTGAACACTATTTCAACTTTTACAACTCCTACCTTTGTTGGTGTAGACTCTTTTTCTTCTCTAATTTTCCTTTTACTCACATTTCTATCTTCCATCATTGATTTTCATTACTTATCCTGTTTCATTGCTTCCATCCCTTCTTTCACTGAAGAACAAGAATAACTTATATACAAATGCATACTACACAAGAGAATGCCATGTATAACCATTTAGCAATGACTACTTCCATGCTTAATTTCTTACTGAATAAAAGTATTTCAGTATCATCACAGTCTTTATGAGTCGCATGATATTGTAGGTGGGACAATATGGCAGACATATACAGGGAGATTATGTCCTTCTGAGCTATTTAGACCATGATTCAAATTCCCACCCAGGACTATAGTGCCTTATTCCATTCCACTGATCCCTCTCACTTCCTTATCTGGCAAAGAGAGGAAAGCTTTCCTTTGCAGAGTTTGCATTTCCAGGTTAATAATATGCTGGAAATCCCTTTGCCAGGAGCGTTGACTACCTCTTGGCCACCTAAAAGAAGGAAGAAGGAGTGGTCTTGCAGATTTGTTTCCTAGTCTCCTAGCAAATGTTGCTTTCAGAGAGAACACTGAACAATTCATGGTCAATTGACTACCTCTTGGCCACCTAAAAGAAGGAAGAAGGAGTGGTCTTGCAGATTTGTTTCCTAGTCTCCTAGCAAATGTTGCTTCCAGAGAGAACACTGAACAATTCATGGTCAAAACACATGCAGATCAACCTCTCACCCCACTTGCTCTGGCTTCCTTCTCACTTGTCCCTCCAAGTCTGTGAGCTGGCTGAACATGCACTTGCTTGGGCTGACCAGGTCTTCTGGGTGTTCCCGCAGGCTCTGGAGGCTGAAAAGCCAAGTGGAATCCACGTATTTGCCGTTCTTCTCCATGCTCACCTCGCTGGCAGAGGCGTCAGGCTGCGGCATTTTCGCAAAGGGAAAGAAATGAAACTTCTTGCTTATGATGACAATTTTGACTTCAATTTCCAAGAGTTTCAATATCTAAAGGAAGAACAAACAATCTTGCCGGTATGTGTGTTTCTGTTCTTTTTCACTGAATGTTATAAAGCCACAAGCCACACATCAGCTGAGATAGAGCAGGATTTCTACCGGTGAAATAAATTGCTCATTGTATCCACAATCTTACAGCCGCCCACCATGGGTGTTGTGTAACAGAATGAATGTGTTTGATCTGCTTTCCAAACCTGAAACTCATTTTTTCTTACTATTCCCAGGGGCAATTCAAATTCTTGATTGAAAAAACAATCAAAAAATAAAAGACTCAGGTCTTGATCCCTAAACATTGTCATTCTTAAGATATTGGTATACCAGTTAGTGATCCTTTGGCTTGCAGTTACAATAAAGGGTAAAATCAGGAGTTCTTTATGCTATCTTGGAGACAGATTTTTTTTTTTTACAAGTTTCATTTCAATAAAACTGGACAGAAGGGCCCTTTTCCATTTGACAAAGGTATTCAGATGTAGCTAATTACACTGTGCTGCATGACTCTGCTTGCAGCAGTACACAGGGTAAGGGAAGGAAAGAAGGGAATCTTATACTTTACAATAACAAGGCTGTATTAAAGCTTTATGGTGCTGCATTTCCTTAAGTGTTTATTCCATGGCCATCAAGTTCATAGAATTTCCTACCCCTATTTCACTCTGAAAAGACAGATTCTTATCCAACTTATGAGACTACAGTAAGAACAACATCTTCTATATAGAGCTGCTGGGAACAGTATTTGTAGGTGGGTGAATAGTGGTCAGGGAGAAGGCACAGCACACGATGATGTTGTGAAGAGAAGAGGAACCTACATTTTCTAATGATTATCCCTGACATCCGCAGCCATGAGCTGATATTCCTTTCCTAAATTCTTCGGTGTACTCTGGGGGAGGGAAGTTACAATTTGAGAGACAGTAATTTGTCAGGATTCCTAAGGCTGCAACCTCCTTCGTCATATTGATCTTAGTTGTCTTAGCACTCCTAACTGTATGCTGTTCTTAGGGTGGACTGTGCTAAGATACTGACCTTAGAGCCCTCCTGGTACAGGGCAGGGAGGTGGAGTCTAGGGTCAGTGCCTAGGGGTGGCTGCCTCTGGGCCACAGAGAATTCCACCACTTATTTGAGCAAGGCCCTAAGATATCTTTCTCCATGGATGGTGTAATGTTCAAAAGATGGGAAAGCACTGGAATAATTAATTCTTGTCAATTTTCCTCAGAATACTTTGTAATGAAATAAATAATGCTCATAAATAAGTAATCACAAGTACATCTATGACTAACATTTCATTTAGTATTTAATCTCTACTGAGGAAAACACACATTATGGTATTTACTTTCCTCACAATAGCTGTGCAAAGTAAGTGCTACTTGCATCATTATGTTTTTTAGATGAACACATTGTTCTGGACTATTCACTTCTTTAAGCAAGTTATCCAGGTAGACTCTTGTGTAGTCTGGCCTCAACAAAGTCATATTTATTTCCTTGGGCACTGTTCTAGCAAACACACACAGATCAAAGGTCTTATCCTGAGCTATTTACAATATCTTTTTAAACAGCAAATATTAATTGTTGGCCCAAGAATATATTAGAGAAATACAACAGAATTAAACTTCACCTGAAAGCTTTAATCTTTACATTTCAGGGAGATAATCTCATTACTGAATGTCGCTACAATACAAAGGATCGAGTTGGCATGACATGGGTAAGAAAATCTTCACTATGATTAAAATTAATTTATTGAAATCAAGGATAAAGCTTTGATTTTAGAAGAAAAAAAGTAACAAACACTTCCTTTTGGAAACAAAATTCCTGAAAGTCTTGAGTATGCAACATTATAAAGGCAAAATCAGAGATGTTTAAGCATTTTATCAGATATCAAAATACCTGATGATGCTATGGTAATAATAGAGTGTAATTTATTACTCTTTTATGAAAAATCTATCTTTAGTCTTTTGTGTTTTCCCCAGCAAGTATGATGGGATGTGGCCATTTGCTTACTGTCTACTTCACTCTGGACAATAAATTGTTGTTAATTTAACAGCAGAACTAATTGCATTAATTCAAACAGAAGTCTGGTCCCAACAGAGTTCTTGGGAATTCCTGTGCATATCCAAGAAATATGTATTTCATGCCTTGCTCAGCCTTTTTCAGGGAATACTAAAAGAAAGACCACTGCCCACCAAATTCTTTTATGGAGTCAGCACATCTTAACCCCAACACTTTATAAGCATGGAATGAAAGAGGCCAACAGCATGCAGCTGACAGAAGTATCTTTGATAAAATATTGAAGAAATTCTGCATTATATGCAAGTCTAATGCTTGAACCAATTTGGCGTTATCTAAGAAATGTAAAGTTGGCTTAAACTAGAAAATGTATTGATGTTCTTCAACACTGAGATTGAAAAGAAATGACATGATCACCAAAGAGAGGCAGAAAAAATATTCATAAAATTTGAGTCAATCATGGAGGGAAGACAAAGACATTTTAGCAAACCTTAATGGGACAACAGTTATCTATGAGAAAATGTGTGGCCAATATTAAATTAAATACTAGAGATATTTCTCTAAAATCATGGAGAATGAAAGGATATTTGCTTTTAATGTTTCCGTTCAACAATGTACTAAAAAAGAAAAACACAGACTATAAGGATCAGAAAGAAAAACATGGAGAAGCTAAATATATTACCTATAGATATTACAATTTTATATGCCCAAATCATCTCCATAATTAATATGTAAAATTAAAAAAAATTATCTTGACGTAATGTAATCTAAAATTATAAGTAACATGGAGATAAAACCTAACATTATATTCTGTCTATGTGGGAAATATATAAATATTGTGAGACACCAAAGAACAGTGAAGAAAAATTAAAGGATGCCATATTCATGAATACAGTGGCTCTGTAAAATAAATGCAACTCCAACTACTCTGCTATAAACTTCATATAATAGGCCAGGGAGATGGCTCAGTAGAATAAGTGCTGGCCTGGCAAGCGCAACGGCCTGAGTTCAATCCCTGGTTCCAAAAAAAAATAAAAATAAATAAATTTAATATAATTCCAGTAAAGAAAATTTAGAGCAATCTTATGATAGGAGGTTCTGATATCATAGAATGTTCAGGGCTCTGGGTTTGATGCCTAAGATAGCAATAAAACAAAAATCAAGCAAGCAAACAAAAACCAAGAGAGAAAGAGCTCAAATATCCCCAAAAGGAAAATAAGTAAGCACACCCTAATATATTTATATAATGAAATAGAATACCATTATAAAACTTAATAAACTAAAGCTACATATATTAACATGAATCTATCTGAAGAATATAATACTGATTAAAAGAGCAAATTTACAGGGAATATGTATAGTGTGACATGCACGTGAGGTTTAAGAACATTCTAAATAAAACCATATTTTGCTTAGGGATATACACTTCAATAAACTGAATATAAAGTGCCATGAAAAGCCATAGAAAGTTTAGCAAAATATTAAGATATTGATCATCTTTGACTAGAGTGAGTAAAAGAGAGGTTGAAGCTGGATGCACAGGGATATAATTTTTTCTCATATCTATAATTTTTGTTTGTATGTGCTTCTAACCATCAGTTAGAAAAAAATCCTTGCATAGTAACTACTACATTAATGTACAACCATGAACAGTACCTGACAGGCTTTTCACCTTCAGCCTTGAAAGATGGATTTGTTGGGTACAGAATTAATGATGGGCAGTTTTTTCTCCAACAGGTTTTTACTGTGTAATTCCAGTATCGTTTTGTTGACCTTCCCCCTCTATGATGAAATCTCAATTTTTCAGTTGTATCAGTCTGACTGTGGGTCGTATGTGTTTTCAAAACTCTTCCACTATCGTTGGCCTTCCTCAGGAGGACTGTGATGCACCTCTCTATACCTTGTTAACCGTTTGTGTTTACAGTCGTTGAGCTTCTTGTGTCTGTAAGTCAAGGCCTTTCACCAAATGCTTTCTTCCCTTTTTTTATTGCGCTCATCTGTAGTGGTCAGTCTTCAAGCTCACTGAGTTTTTGGTCATTGCCATCTGCCTCTGAGCTCAGTGCTTTTTTCTTCTTCTAAACTGAGTTTTAGTGACTCTGAGCTAAAAAATTTATATTATGGTTTTTTTATTGCTTCCTTTTACTGGCATCATTTCCTATTTGCTTTCTTATTTTTAATTATTTGAACATACTTTCTTCAACTATTTGAATATAGTTTTATAGGTTTTTAAGTCTTTGCTAGATTCAATATCTGTGTCTTCTCACAGTGCGCATCTACTTAATTTTTCCTTTTTGGTACAAATCATAGTTTCATGTTCCTTTTCAGGTTTAATGGTTTTTGGGTGAAAATTGGACATAATAGGTAATATATGATAGAATCTGTTCTTCTAAGAGTGATTTTTGTTAAAATGTAACAGTGTTAACTATTTCGATATAAAATGCATCATCTGCATCCTTTGTGCTGTGCAGATATTGATGTTTATAAATAGGAAGACACAGAGAGAAGGAACAAAGTCTGTCAGACTGATGGATAGGTATTGTGTTAACAAAACCACCTCATGGTTATCCGAAACACTGACTGTGGTGTGCGGTTTATAGCATATTAGTAGAACGTTAGAGATTAGTAGTTTTATTTAACAAAAGCAACTTTTAAAAAGATGAAAATCTGTTCATTTTTAAGTATATCATAATCTTTTTGAAGGCTATCATTCAGAAGATTACTATTGATATTTACAAAATCTTAGAAGACATTTCAGAGCTGGAAGGAAGTACATGACATTGGTGGCTTTTGTGTTATATGTGTCAGAACTTGTGGGACATGCACTTTGCTAAGTAAAACACCTCCGTTTTCAGGGAGGACTAAGCACCAGGAATGAAATGTGTCTCTCCTACCTGCTTTATTACCCGAGAATTAATCTCACTAGATGTGCAAGTATTCCAGACATCATGGAACAACTGCAGTTCATCGGCGTGAAGGAGATCTACAGACCAGTCACGTGAGTGGGGAAGGGGTTTCACAGCAGGGCCATGTACGTTAGTGATGGGCTTTATTTCTATCTGAGACTTTCCCATGTGTGTGATTCTGTTTGATTACTTGCAACTGTAGAGATCAGATAACTTTCTTTGTCACTGTCCAGGGTCCCCACACCACCCTCTGCTTCACTGGATAGCTAAGGTTAAAGATTCAGCATACAGGAGAACTCATGGATAATACTTATTAAAATGAAATGATACAAAGAAAGATGAACTAAAGGGAAGGCTCTTAGGGAGAAGTCCAGTACAAACCAGTCGAATGCCAGCTCCCAAAAGGCTTCTGCTAGTTGAGTTACAGAATTGCTTAATTTGACCAGAATTGAGTCCTGATATGTATAAAACATTGTCTACTACACACGCTCACTTACAGCTCCATGTCTAGATTTTTTCTGGGTTTGGGGCTGTGAAACTTGTTGAGAGGTGCTCTCTACCTAAGATATGTCAAAAGTCCAGAATCCCAGCAAAAAACATGCTTTAACATAAACCAATTATTCCTGAAAATAGTCTAGATGAACTGAACCACAGTGATCACTTGCAGAAAGCTGCACATCTCTTTAGGAAAGAATTATCTACTAAGTCCCAGACACCAATCAGAATCACCATCTGTGGTGTGCTGTGTGAACTCCTTCTACATAACTGTGTAAAAACTACTTAAAATAAAATAACAGACTAGATAAATATTATTCCTTTCATCCAACATAAATTTTAAAGTGGCGAAGTGGTAGTAAGTAAATAACTTAAAATTTAAATAGTAATAGATGTTATAAACAGTAAAAGTGAAAAAGTGTGTAGCTATTATGAACAAGTGGCGAAGCCTGTCTGAAGAGGTGGTGTTTGAACAGAGAGCTACACACAGAGAATGTGATACAGAAGATCAGGGAATGAAATACAGACAGATGCATTCTACACAGAGAGAAGAGCCAGTGTCATGACCTCAGCAGTGTGTACAGCTCTGTTGGGTCTGAGGAAAAGCAAGAGGCTACACTTGGTTGGAGCCAAACAAGATATGGTAGAGAACAGGTGGGGAGGCTGGGCCAGGGCTGTGGCGTCAGACTATGGAGAGTGTTCTCAGGAGTGCAAAGCCCATGGAGGATACAAGCAGTGGGGCTATGCATTGGAGCTGGATGAGGGCAAAGAGGAAATGCCGCCACCAGTCAGGAAGCTACGATGACTTTCCAGGTGACAGAGAAGGGTACTTGGGCCAAGATGGTGGCACTAGAGTTGAGGAAAAGTGTTTACACATAGGTTAGCCCTCGGTGGTAGCACCCACAGGACCTGCCGAGTGATTACAGTTCAGAAAGGCAGTGAGAGAAACAAAGAAGAAAGGATGAATGAATGATGTAAGAGGACAAAGCCATTGAAGTTCTGTTTTATATGTGATAAAGTAGGTATTTAGGAAGGATTTCATCTGATCTCAGTAATATCTGCAAGAAGAATTAGAGTGGCTGGTAGAGTTTTGAGAATAACATAATTTGTTTTAATATAAGGAAGACCTTTCTAGTAATTAGGATTTTTCAAAATGAAAGGGATTAGTGTAATTAGATAAAGATGCACACAGATTTTTTGAAAAGTATATTTAAGAACAGTAAAAAACACTTAATAAGGTTATGGTAAAATGCAGATGCTAAAGGAAAACATACATAGGGTCTGATTTTTCTTCCTAAACATCACAGGACTCATAAATTATGAACTAGGGATATTTTTAAATTTAATTAATTACTTTGTAGATATGATTACTTCTATATAAACAACCTACAACCACCAGAACAGGAATCTGCACCTAGGAAAATACAAACAACAAAATGCATGTGTGAGTTGATTTGTAGTTTATAATTTTTACATGAATGATTTTAGTTATTCGTGCACAATTTTAAGAGAGCAGGACATGCACTCCCAGGTGACAGATTACAAAGCTGTTCCACATAACATGGTACCCTAATAAATAGGCAAGTCAGAGTTCATATTCTGGTCTGTTCTCTATGTATGTGTATCTCTATAGGGAATGACTTTCTGATAGCACTTTTCTTTTTTTTTTAATTTTTTTTTTTATTAGAGAGAGAGAGAGAGAGAGAGACAGAGAGAGAGAGACAGAGAGAGAGAGACAGAGAGAGTGGTGTGTGTGTGTGTGGCCAGCTCAGCCCACCAGGGGGCGGGCTGGCTGGCATGTGGTGCTGGGGGATTGAACCGTGGTCCCTGTGCTTCGCTGAACTTGTTCTAAGTAGGTGCTTTAGACCACTGAGCCATCTCTCCAGCCCCTGATAGCACTTTTCAAAATGAACAGAGCAGACAAAATATTCACATATAATACATAAAATATTAAGACATTACAATGTGGCATAAAATGCCATTCTAAAAGTACTGGGATATGATCTTGTTTCAAAATATTTGGGGTTGGGCTGAGAAGATAGCTCAGTGGTCTAAGTGCCTGCCTGGCAAGCTGACAGACCCAGGTTCAATTCGCAGTACTGCATGCCAAGCCAGCCTTGTGTCAAGCTGGCTGCTGAGTCTGGGCGTGGTGGCTCATGGAGCCAGGAGGATCACTGTGAGTCAGAGCTGTGTAGTGAGACCCTGTACCAAATAAATAAATAAGATTAAAAAAATATTTGAGGTTTATTTTGTGGTGTTGCGGGTGAGCCCCACGGCCTGGTACACATTAGGCAAGTGCTGTCCCACTGAGCTAAGCTCTCATTCCCAGCGTGTTAACTTCAGACAGTCCTTTATTTAGCTTTGATAGTTTTTCCCTTTAGAATAGTTTTTCATATAGGTAGAAATCTCTGCCAATGCTGAGTTTATTGGAGAATGTTTAAAAACAGCCATTCGAAGTCATAAGCTTGCAAATACATGGAACACAGCTACGGCTCGTCCTCTGTGCCCAGGCTGTGGGACGCGTCTCACAAAACCCCTCTCATTCCCTGGCCAGCTGTGCACTGTCCCCAACTTTGGCCTTCTCCGGGAAAGGTGAGGCTGAGGTTGAGCTTTCATCACCTAGAAAGATGGGGAGAGCTGCTTCACAAAGCGAGGCCAGCGCTGAGCTGTCACTGCCAGGAAAAATCCTTTGACCTCATGATTCAATTTATGTGAATAAAAAGGAGTCTCTATTTAAAAATAGCATGTTTACCTTTGAAATCAGACTTTAAAATCTAGCTCTTCATCATGGCGACAAAAATAATAGTGATGGCCAAACCAAGGTGGTGCTGGCTAGGAGACCAGAGAGACATGGGTGAGGTGTTTTCTAATTTTGCTTAACATAGTTAGGTACTTTAGAACTTTGCTGGGTTTTCAGAATACACCACTAACCATATATATATATATGGCCTAGAATCTTCTGTTTTGTGCTTTGAAATGTCATGATTCATTAGATGCTACATTTTAAACATTCTGTAGCAATCTTGAAAGTTAGAGAATAAACTGATTAAAAAATAGAGACAATAACATCTTGTCTCATTTGTGTAGCTTGTTTTAGGCACTGTATAATATGAATAGATTCAAGAGTATATAATATAATGTGTAGTTTTAATTTTGTTTTAATTTCTCTCCCAAGAGACAAAGTAAGGTAAAAGTAAACATTTTGAAATTCAAGTGAGGGTTATTGGTGTTTCAACAACAACAAAAAAATAAGATTTTATCAGAGAGATCTGAGACTTGGAGAGAAGAGACGACAAGTGACACTGAGGCCCTGGGCTTCTCGGCACAAAGTTCAGAGTTGGGCCGTGATGGGGGGCACAGCAGCCCTTTCCCATTTTCTCCTCCTCCCTCCCTACACCACAATGCCTACTGCTGATGCTGTGGTTCTTGTACTTTTAAGAGTTTTAATTTTCACATGTAATGCTGACACCATCATTCCCACAAGAATACTGTAGCTTACATATATATTTAAATAGTTTCACTGATAGCTCCTAATGTTTATATGATTTCTGAGATTTTTTAAATCTGAATCATGATTTTGTCTTCAAATTATTTAATCAAGAAGGACTTCAAGGTGTGTTGTGCCCCCAAATTCTTTTTTCTTTGAGTATTTCTGCACTTTGATTTATGCACAATTTTAGGGTCTTATGTTCTTTCTGTTGGGCCATCTCTCTGGATAAAATAGAATTTTCCTTTTCTTGCAGGGCTCATAAATACTTAAGAGATGAACCTCTGCATCATATTTTAATGAAACACACCATGTTCTTTTAGTATGCATATTCACTTGCCTGTTAAGTTGAGAAATTTTCATTTATCATATCTATGATATTGTTTCTAATCTATTTGGGATATTTTCAGGCACTCTTAAAATATTTCAGGTACCCTTTTTCTAGTTTACTTGATGCAAAATTTATTTTATCTTCAGCTCATTCAATTGTTTTATATCTGAGCTCTTATTTCATTGAATTCATGTTATTAGACAAACTTAAAGTGTAAAATACTCATTGAAATTCTTTCTAGTATAGTTTCTCTATATTTTCTTCTAGACTCAGATTATCTTGTATTGTTACAATCAATATTATGTAATTTTTTTTCACTTTGTCTTTGTGGGGTCTCATTTCTTGTGTTTGCTGGGATACTATTGCCCCAAATTTCTTTTGAACACATCTGAGCCTAGTTTTCTGTATTTCCACACCACAATCTGAGATGTGGGTGACTTATTCTGTGTACATGTGTTTTTGTAGTTTGAGAGTCAGCGGCTATGTGTTAGGGATGGGACTGCATATTCTGTTAGACCTGTGAGTTGTCGCTCCCTCGTATTTTGTTATCTGTTCAAGGAAATTTATTTTTAAGATGACACAATAGGGGGCTGGGGAGATAGCTCGGTGGTCTAAGCATCTGCACAAGGATCCAAGTTCGATCCTGGGTACTGCATGCCATGCCAGCCCCAGGACCACAGGTTTCGGGTGTGGTGGCACACACCTGTAATCCCTTCCTGGAGAAGCTGAGACAGGGGGATCACTACAAGTCCAAGCTGCGCAGCATGATGCTATACCAT